GTACATTAATGGTACATCTACATTAAAGGTCACATATTTCCTCCTCTTCAACCAGTGCAAATAAGTCTCAGAGCTCCTCAAAACATGCGTGTGAAGTTCCTTGTTCTAAATCCACTCTGATCCTGTATTTGATCATGACTATAAACCCCTCTATTTCAGCCCTGCTCAGCACAGGCTGTTTCTGTTTGAGCACACATTTTCTGAAAAATGGAGCAGGTAAAAGACGGAGAGGATGGACTTTTCTCATCATTGGGGGGTTTGTAGACAGACTAGAGACACAAAGTTAGAGAAACATGGTGAAGTGTATTTTACAGAATATGTGACCTTTAAAGACAGTCAATAGCTTAATCCTTCAAAATAAAACACAGACTTCTCCTAAAGTGAAGCTGCTCCATCGTCCCTTCTGGGCCTCCGTACATGTTGTGGTGGTGACTGTGTCTGCAGAGACTCTGTCCTCTGACTGGATTTTACTGTTCTGCTTTGTTCTGGTTGACTCGGGACGTTTCTGGGCGGAGCTGGTGTGTTTCCTCCAGCCAATGAGAGCGCAGCAGGTGAGTTTAGGAGTATATAACTCAGCGATTGAACGTGATTACAATAGGCAAATATGACAAATCTGGACGCAGCGAAAGAAGAGCAGTGAGGGGAAATTCTTTGATTAGCCCTGGAGGAGGGGCCCAGTTTGAATGTTTACAAACATTTTTACAGACTTCACCTTTAAGGTTGACATCCAGAGATAAACGAATCGTGAAAATAAAACTATTCTACAAAGTCAGAGTGAGATGTTGGTCCACCTCGAGCCTCCAGGAAAGCTTCATGGCTCCTCGTCAGAGAGTCTCAAAGTTTCTGATCTTTAATGCAGACACAGACAACATCTTAATAAGATATAATTCCCTTATAGGGTTGTTTGATTAGAGTCAGGGGGTTTAGTTTTTATCCTGATGACAAGTGAAGATCAGTGACCCTTTATGTCCCGTACAGAGCCTTCTACATTAGCTCTCTTTTCTCTAATTAAACACACTTCTTGGATCCAATTTATTCCATTAAACTACCATGATATCTACTTTAACGATTTAACAATGCACTGTTACTTTGAAGGTTGAAATGTTCTTTTTAATGTGCTTCTGTTTCTCTTTGTCGTGATGTTTTGGACGTCTTGTATGACCCACATAGTTGACCCTTTGTTGGCTGTCGGCTGACCGCCAATCAGAGAGCTCCCTCTCATTGCAACAGTTGCTGGGCTACTTCCTGTTAGCCAAACTTTCTCCTGTGCCGAGTCTTTTCAGTGTGTTGTGGTGAAACTGTGACCTTAGTGTTGTTACTAAACATGATTTAAATGTGCTCGGGGTGTCTGCAAGATTGACTCTAAATTTCCACATCATGATCCTGGAGTATTTTTCTTGCAGCATTCCCGGAGTGTTCTGTTCTGTATCTGACTCAAAATAAGACACAAAGTCCGTAAAGTAGCTGTCATGTTCTTTGTGTTTTTCTCTGATGTACGCACGCAACTCGACTGTGCGTGCCTGTCTGTCTTGTAAACTAAGCACGCTTCATGATCACGTTGCATGTGTTGCGTTACGACGTTACAGTATGTAAAAGAGGTAACCGTGCTCAGGCCCAGTTAGTCCTGGAGCAGTGTGAGTGCACGCCAGCGGGGGATTGGGGAGGAGGGGCAATCATGCTAAAGCACGGTACAGGACAATAGCTAGTGTGAGTGCGTCCTAAGAGAAAGAAACCTTGAGCAAATCCAGACTGATGTTGAACAGACGTGCAGTGTGAACATGGTCTAAATGTTCCTTTAAATCTACAGGGAACGTTTAAGAGCACAGTATTGATCTCTGCTCCATGACAAAGATAAAAATAAAGCTGCACGTAACATCCATCCATCAGCTGTACCCAGATATGAGGACCAGGAGCCAATCACAGCTGTCAGCGGGTCAAAAGCAAAGGACAAGAGTTGTTTCAGTACCAATCTACACGAGTCAAAACGAGCTGTAGGTTTCAGGTGAAGTTAGACTTAGCATCAGACGTTTTCCACAAATAACACTCATAAATTTGTATTTATCACACTGAAATCAGGGAGATGTCAGATCTCTGCAGATAACAAAGTCCAGGTATGGGATACTTAATCAGGAGGGAGTCAGTGACATCAGACGATGTGACTAATGTCCATCACTGACGGCTCACACCTCACCTTCACGCCACCTTTAGAGCATGACGGAGAAAACGCATGACGGAGAAAACGCAAACTCGTGAAAAACATCCCCAGCCAATCAGAGGGCTCAGACTTTCCTGCTATGAGGTGACAATGCATTAGTGTACGCTAAATCAAGGCCAGCACTGCAATGCTAGCATCTCATCTGAAGGCTCGCTCGCTGCCTAACGCAGCTCGCACGCTCGCTCTATGCAGCACTCTGGCTAATGAAGCGCTGAGCGGTGGAGTGGCAGTGGGGGACAGTGGAGGACCCTGTGGGACTGCCTGCATAAGCGCCAGCCTGCATGTATGTATGTGGCTCTTTTGTAACTCAGGCGGAGGATATGAGTCAATCATTCCAGCCAGGCAGCTCTCCAAACGCTGCCGGGGTTTTTTCTTCCCTGTGATGGATTTGCTGCTGAACGAACAGCTACACTAAACAGAGTCACCACGAGCACACAAACAGGAGAATACATGTAACACCAGCTCAAATACTTCTGCACAAAGACGCTCCAAATGTAGTCCTGCATCGGGGAGCTTTTTGATTGCATTCGGGGATTTATTATTTTGTAAAGTGGAATAAAACGAGCAAAACAAGATTCAGTGTTGAGTGCAGGAACTGTGTGAAATGTGTTGGACTGAGTTTATGGTGAAACGGACGAGACCGGAGGACCAAGGACACCTTCAAAACCTTCTGTCCCGTCCGAGTTCTTCAATACTTCCAGAGACGGTCCACAGGAAAAGTAAAATCACGTCAACTGTCTCAGGTGGGTTCCACAAAACATCATTCTGTCATTGTAAACTCGGTACAACACATTTCACACAGTCTTTCTCCCAAGACCAACTAACTGACCAATCACTGGATTTGGTAAATTCCCTTTGTCCTTTGTAAATCAGTTTGGGACTTTGGGTGAAATTGTTTTAAAGCTTGTAAACTTGTTTTCCAAAATGTCGACCTTCCTCAAGCTTTGTAAAAGTGTATTACACATTACTGTACATTCTGCTACGTTAGCTTTACTTAGAAAACATTATTTACATATTTTAAACTCTCCTGAAAATGTCTGCCAGAGGAACAGAGGAAACATTCACATTTCAGAGACGGGCTGACGATGTGAACATGAGTGCTCAGGTGGAGAATCTTAGCCGTCATTACCACGCCTACTTAAACTGACTGATCTGAGAGACTTTTGCTTTATGTTCAACCATGGAGACACTCAACGTACAGGTACGGCAACACCTCTAAGACAAACCACACGCAGACCTACACAAACTGGGGCTGATTTCTAAATTGCCTTATTTATTTAGCCAAAGTGCAGTATGCAAGATCTGCAGTATGCCAAAGATACCCGGATGTAGTTCTGATTCGGGAAAAATCTAAAGTTAGACCAGTCTTCCTCTCGTACCGTTTCCCACAATGCAAAGAGGCAGGTCAGGGGGAAATAATCACAATCAGACCAAACCACACTAAGAGACCACCAGTTATCTTTGTTGATTCTCTAAATCATAAAAATCTAAATTAATCTCATCTCAGCTTTTTTCAGACTGTAAGTGTGATCTAGTGTACTATCAGGTCAGGGTGGGACTTAGTCTGCTACAGTCCTCCACTGGTTAGATGCCAAGACATTTTAAAACACCAAAGACGCAGAAGCACAAACAAATGCAGAGATCAGTGCAGTCAGAGGCGCTGCTTGGGGCCTCAGTAGGGGGCCCCTGAGAGCTCACAAACTTTAAACCACAGCAGCCGCCCAAAATGTGCAAACCATGACAGTAGGAAACCTCCCTAAGGGGGCCCCTTCTGATCGTTGCCTTGCTAAGCGTTGTGTGCATTATCGCTGTGAAAACCAAAGTTTGTCAATGAAAGTCAACAAAGGAAAATGTAACAGGAAGAAAGAGGAAGTGGAGTAAGAGATGGGACACGGGCAGACATAATGGGCCCCCCAAATATGTCTAGCCTGGGGCCCCGACAGACTCTAGAAACGCCACTGAGTGCAGGGACAGAGCAACAACTCCTTCGTTCTGTCAGGTAAAATCACTGTGTGTCTATGGAGGCTCTGAAGAGAACGATGTGACGGCTGTTTCTGGTTGTAAAACAGGAAGTCGCCTCAACAACAAATGAGGTCTCTCTCTGTAGGGATGCTTTCTGTAATGTTGTCACCAATTAGAACAACAATGTGAAACTATCGGGGACTAAAACAACCACTTTAAGTGGATGCTGCAGACATGAAAGGCCCGCTCTGTGGCTGAGAGCTCGGGCAAACTTTAAAAAAATGATTCTACCTTTTCTAAATGTGTTCTTAATGAACGCTTCCCTTCAAAGGAAGCGTTTTAAACTCGCTTACTGTAAAGAAAAACCTTTCAGAAAGACTTTCATAAACTCCCCAACGTGCAGCTGGAGCGTGTTTTCCTTTTTTTGTCTTAAAGTTGACACACTGATTTTTGCAGAAAATGTGTAAACTTTTTTTTCCATCCAAGGCATCGACTGAAGGACGAGAAGTGAAACGACTAAATGGAAGCTGTCGAGGATGCTCGCTCCTGGTTCTCCTTTCTTTTCTTTTTTTTTCCCAAACACTTTAACTGAAACAAATGTAATATTGGCCGGAAAGACATCCCACATTCCCTGGTTCCAGCTGACCTTGACCATTTTGCACTGTTTCCATGGCAACAAATGAGATGAAGAAAGGGTGCTGCTACTATAAATGTTTTCCCTACGCTGACAGCTGACATCAATCATCTCTAATCGAGTATACATCCAAACCGCACTGAACTGAACAGGAGTGTTTATTTAATTTAATTATTTTTTTGACTCTACCTGAAAAGGACTCTGGCTGTTGTAGTTCTTCACTTCCTTGTCGGCTCCTCGTACAAGCAGCACTCGGGCACAGTTATCCTGAGGAAGGAAGAGAGTGAAAAAAATATGAAAATAAAGCTTTGGAAGAAAAATGTCTCAAACAAGGCAAGGCTGCAATCCTTTAATTCTCCTACTTTGTTGAGGGGAAAACACTGATTAAGGCTCCCACTGACATTAGCAGAATTTCCCAAGAAGCAAAAAAAAAAAAGTCAGCAGAGCAGGAAGAGATCTAAACATCCCTGCAACTGAGAGAGAAAGAAGAAGAAGAAGAAGAAGAAGAAGAAGAAGCATCTACTACCTATAAGAGAAATGGAGCTCCTGTGGCTGGTAAGTGTGGATCTGTTGCTCCACTCAAAGAGAAAGAGGGAGTGAGGGCGAGAGAGATAGATGGAGAGAGACAGAGAGAGAGAAGAACAGAGAGCTGGAGAGTGCTGAGGGGTTTGAATCTGCTGCACAGATCGCCCACAAAGTGCTCAACCACGCATGTACTGTGCACACACACATGAATAAAAATACTTTTTTTAGATCCACAATAAGCTATTGAGAGTTGAGAAATCGCTCCACACAGAAACAGGAACACAAGCAGAATGTGTGCAGAGCTGCGAGCGCCACAAACAGCCCTGTGATTAGACGTTTAACAGCTGGTTGTAAGACGTGCTCGAGCGGCTTATTTTTTTTTACTCCAGCGCGTGTTGTGTCTTCTTCAGCGTTTAAGCTACATTTAAAAATGGAAATGTGTGACATACATCAGAGCTGTGAAATTAAAGCAGAGGGCTTTCTAGCTTTGAGGACATAATTATAGAAGCAGAGCGCTAAAAAGGGAAACAGGGACTGGAGGGACTGGAGGGATGAAACGCAACATCAGAAAAAAAAAGAAAGTCAAATCAGGATAATCGAGGAACGTGCAGCTCGGACAACATGGAAACTTTGGCTCCAAATGGATTTTTCTTGTGCTTTTCATGTTGAGTTAGAGAGAGTAGATCACTGATGGGGAAAGAGGAGGATTCTCACTCACACACACACACACACACACACGCACACACACACACACACACACACACACACACACACACACACACACACACACACACACACACACACACACACACACACACACACACACACACACACACACACACACACACACACACACACACACACTCGCCAAAAGTTTTTGACATTTTTATGCAAGGCTCTGCTCTGGAGTCTGCTTCTGTAAAGGCGGGGGTGGGGGGTGGGGGGGGGACTCACACATATTCATGACGTCTACAGTAAAGCGACCTCAGAGGAGTAACCCAGGTAACACGTGCCCGCTCTGTTTCACACATGCAGCCATCATTATCTTCTTAAAGGCTTCAGATACAACCTGCAGACCTTCTCTATTCTCCTCTTTAACAGAATCAGAGCTGAGATGTTTTTTAAAATGTGATTAATCAGATTTTTTATTGCATGATTTCGATTCTGTTATTTTGCATTTCAAAACAGTTTTTGTGGCTTTGTATTTTAATTATTGAACTGTACTGTTTAGGGTACTTAAAGACAGGCTGAGAGCAGAAGCTGAGGCGGGTTTTAAACCTCCTGACAAACCGTTACACCGTGTCCACCTGTCAATCATGTCAGCTACATGCCTTATTGTGAATAACTCTCATCCTTCATCAAATCAAAACTGATGAGTCATGGGGCGCTGGTGGCGCAGTGGTTGGTGCGCACGCCCCATGTATGGAGGCTGTCATCTCAAGCGGGTGGCCCGGGTTCACATTCCACCTGTGGCTTCTTTCCCACATGTCATTCCCCACTCTCCCTCCCTGATTTCCGACTCTATCCACTGTTCTATCTCTCCATTAAAGGCATTAAAAGCCCCCCCCCCCCCAAAAAAAGATGAGTCATCAAAACATTCACACCCCGTACAGTGTGTGCCGATCGAGGCATGAGCTAATCAGACCTGTTTGGTTTTTTGAACCAGGCTGTAAACATGTTAATCTCTGCTGTAAAAACAGGCTTTTTAGAATGGGTGTGTATGTGACTTCCTGTGCTTCTGCAGCTCAGCCTCTAGTGGACACTCGAGAAACTGCAGGATTGGCTTTATTTTTCAACAAAGGAGGTTGCAGCGTGACACAAACCTGCTTTTATTTTGAAATAAACTATAATGAACTTTCGGTAGATCAAAAGTAACAACATTAACTTAACTGCAGAAAAAGGAACTCGTTACGCAAGGAAAAGTGAAATAGGACTGAACAAAAGGTAAATGTTTGATGTCATAAGGTGTATAAAAATGTATTTTAAAAATCAAAGGAGCAATTTGTATCTCTGACACCTAGTGTTTAAAATGGGTACTGCAGTCTAAATTCAGCACATCATAGAAAGCTGTTCCCCCCCCCTCCTCTCTAGAGTCGATGCTCATACAGGTCACCATCTGGTGGACACTGAAGCTTCAGTGTTTATCCAGCTCTGCATCGGTCTGTAAACCTTTCTGTGTTCTAACCTCTCTCCATTTTTTCAAAATCATCTCCAATATTGATCCTAGTTTGAGCACGTTTCTGCTCGTGGAGCTTATTAGAAACATGCAGAGGCTTTTTAGGTCGGGTACAATCACTTCTATCTGAACCACTTCTCTTGCCCGCTTCCATCGTTGCAACACCTGTTGACCTGATAACTGCTCTCATATCTGGGAAACCGAGGGGCGTCCAAAATGGCCGTGTGGGGGTGCCTTAAAACCGCCTACCTTCTCTGGTCCAAACAAATCCAGAGCATTCAGGACCAGAATCTAAAGTTAGAAGGAGGACATACTGGCTGCTGCATTGTTGTCAGAGAAGCACTTCAACATAGCATGTTTCCTTAATGTCTGATCATATAGTAAGCTCACTTTATCATTTCACTCACTACACATCTCACTGATTTGACCTTTAAGATCAAAGTTTTCAGATGCAAATAGTAAACTTGCAGCTGAGAGCTTCAAGCATGCCAGTGAAATCAGGAAGTAATGAGAAAATGTTTTTGTTTCCTCCTGTGATTAATTTTTTAATGATAAGCAACAAATTGCAGCTTCACGCTTTAAGAATCAAACCTTCCCCACAGACATGATCCTCTCTGTAACCAACACAATGCCGGTGTTAAGATCAGCTCGTGAAGGTCAAACATGCTTCTGCAGGAAGAGAATAATCTTTCTTCAGTGGAAGTCAATTTCTCTTTTGATGTATAATCATCAGCGGGCTGCTGTAGATTGGATGCTGTGTTCCTCTGCTTAACTGACCACGCTCACAGTGCGATGTGTTAAATGGTCTGAACAAACACGGGTTGAACGCTGCTGTTGACCTTTAGCCGGAGGGTTCACTGATACGCTAGATTTAAGAGCTCTCTGAGGCGGTTCATTTATTCTGTTTGTTTGACTTCAGGGATGAGGAGGAACTTATTTTATACGGTGGAAGTTGAACAAATTCCATAAAAATAAAATCTAAACCAGAAACATGTTAATTTATTTTGGTATACTTTCTGACCTCTCTACCCCTGTAGCTTCTCGAGTCCCGTCGATGGCGGTCTCCATGTTGGAAATGCTGTCTCAGCCTAGCTTTCAGTCAACCTAACAACAGGCTGAGAGTTGGAGCTGAGGCGGGTTTTAAAGGGGACATATTCTGAAAAATCCACTTCTACAGTGTTTCTAACATTTTATTTGGGTAAACTGAGTTTCTACAGACCCACAAAATGGGGACGGCTGATCGTTATCGTGTTTGAAACGGGACAGATGGGGGAGGCAGAGATTTTGCAAGTCGACAGGAAGCGAGATAGAAGCAATCTGATAAAGCTGATGGCCCCAACACAAGTCTTACAACACAGAGATAAATGCTCCGTTTCAAATGTGCTCTCCTTGTGATGTCACAGTGGGATTCTGGTAATTGGGATTCTACCCTCTCCTCCCCTGATATCTCCACCCATGGACTCCACCCCCAGCCTAGAACAAAACTTTTGAGCAGGTCGGCCATTTTTATTCTTGTAAGCGAAGGAGTAATGTCTACCGGGAAAACTCAGGGGGGGGGTCATTGCATTTAAAGAGACACACACTCCAAAACGGAGCGTTCTGAGAGAGCTGGTTTATACAGGGTCACAAACCCCCTCTGGTGCTTCATTCATGTTACAGCACAGATGTTTCATTTAGACCACAGGGGACTGTTTGAAAAGGTGGAGAAGGGGGATAATATGTCCTCTTTAAGCCTCCTGACAAACCGTTACACCGCTAAATATTGAGGCTTTAAGTACAATCTATAAATACAGTATATAAATGCAGCGATTACTCAAGGCTCCTTAAAGACACAGTAACTTATTTCACGTCTTTGTTTCCATTAAGGGTTAGACAGCGACTTTGTTTGGTTTTACACCTGGGAATACTCAGCACAAGAGCATCGAGCACATGAGCGTGATAAATAACATACAAGGACGATCGCAAATAATTCATCCCATGGGGGAACAGAGCAAACACCCTGCAGGCTGTGTACTAACAGAAAAGAAATGCATGAGGTGGGTTCAACAGAAGAAACAGAAGAAACAGCAGGAAGCACACAGCAGCATCAAGGGGCTGGAAAATAAAGAGGAGGCAAACTGCAGTTCCTCCAGTGTCCACTAGAGTCTGTCTCCTGCTGTGAGTCAGTCCCCATAGAGCCCCATGTTAAAATGTCCAACTTTACAGCTGCAGTTCCTCCAGTGTCCACTAGAGGCTGCGGTTGAAAGCGAGTCAGTCCCCATAGAGCCCCATGTCCAACTTAACAGCAGAAATAAAAATGATTAATACCTGATACAAAAACAGTTACAGTCTCTAGAGCTCATTGTTCAGCTGTTCAACTGTTCAGGCTGTTTTTCTTATACAACTCACCTGAATACATGCCAAAAGAATCTTTTTTTGTTTTATGATGTTTATTGTTCGATTCGACCACCCATGAAGTTAGCAGGAGACGGGTTGCATCCATCATGAGTGTGCGTAGTTAACATTAAGTATGTCTCCATCTTAATCCTCACATTGTGCATGTTTTAGTTTCACTTCATGTGGTGCTAACAGAACAATATTTTGCTTCACACACTTGACAGAATTGGCCTGACCCCCTCAAAAAAAAGGCCAAAACAGTAGTGGTGTGTGCTCTGATTCATATCATAAACACACACATGAACACAAACATCTGCAGTCATCAAGTAAACCCCCCCACACCCTCCCCCCTCCCTCCCAACCCTCCCCCTCACCTGGTTGTAGAGGGCACAGATGTGAAGAGCGGTGTTTCCCGAGGCGTTCTGGGCGCTCATGTCTGCTCCGTAGAACAGCAGATGCTCCAGGTGCTGCACATGGCCGTGACGGCAAGCCTGCACACACACACACACACACACACACACACACACACACACACACACACACACACACACACACACACACACACACACACACACACACACACACACACACACACACACACACACACACACACACACACACAGAAGAAGTGCACTGTCATATTCAGCCTTTACTGTAATACTACGTAGGCTTATAGTAGTTGCAGTAACAGGCCTTCAACACTAGATGTCAGTGTGCTGCAAAGGAGATAAAATCAACACGGGAAGCAGCTGTAGCCTCAGTTTGAACTCTGTTATTAAAAGATGAGGGATGAATGAGTGTGTGCAGAGTGATGGAGGGATGAATGAGTGTGTGCAGAGTGATGGAGGGATGAATGAGTGTGTGTAGAGTGATGAAGGGATGAATGAGTGTGTGTAGAGTGATGGAGGGATGAATGAGTGTGTGCAGAGTGATGAGGGATGAATGAGTGTGTGCAGAGTGATGAGGGATGAATGAGTGTGTGTAGAGTGATGAAGGATGAATGAGTGTGTGTAGAGTGATGAGGGATGAATGAGTGTGTGCAGAGTGATGGAGGGATGGAGGGATGAATGAGTGTGTGCAGAGTGATGGAGGGATGAATAAGTGTGTGCAGAGTGATGGAGGGATGGAGGGATGAATGAGTGTGTGTAGAGTGATGGAGGGATGAATGAGTGTGTGTAGAGTGATGGAGGGATGAATGAGTGTGTGTAGAGTGATGAAGGGATGAATGAGTGTGTGTAGAGTGATGGAGGGATGAATGAGTGTGTGCAGAGTGATGAGGGATGAATGAGTGTGTGTAGAGTGATGAAGGGATGAATGAGTGTGTGTAGAGTGATGGAGGGATGAATGAGTGTGTGCAGAGTGATGGAGGGATGGAGGGATGAATGAGTGTGTGCAGAGTGATGGAGGGATGAATAAGTGTGTGCAGAGTGATGGAGGGATGAATGAGTGTGTGCAGAGTGATGGAGGGATGAATGAGTGTGTGCAGAGTGATGGAGGGATGAATGAGTGTGTGCAGAGTGATGGAGGGATGGAGGGATGAATGAGTGTGTGTAGAGTGATGGAGGGATGAATGAGTGTGTGCAGAGTGATGGAGGGATGAATGAGTATGTGTAGAGTGATGGAGGGATGAATGAGTGTGTGCAGAGTGATGGAGGGATGAATGAGTGTGTGCAGAGTGATGGAGGGATGAATGAGTGTGTGCAGAGTGATGGAGGGATGAATGAGTGTGTGCAGAGTGATGGAGGGATGAATGAGTGTGTGCAGAGTGATGGAGGGATGAATGAGTGTGTGCAGAGTGATGGAGGGATGAATGAGTGTGTGCAGAGTGATGGAGGGATGAATGAGTGTGTGCAGAGTGATGGAGGGATGAATGAGTGTGTGCAGAGTGATGGAGGGATGAATGAGTGTGTGTAGAGTGATGGAGGGATGGAGGGATGAATGAGTGTGTGCAGAGTGATGGAGGGATGAATGAGTGTGTGTAGAGTGATGGAGGGATGAATGAGTGTGTGTAGAGTGATGGAGGGATGGAGGATGAATGAGTGTGTGCAGAGTGATGGAGGGATGAATGAGTGTGTGTAGAGTGATGGAGGGATGAATGAGTGTGTGCAGAGTGATGGAGGGATGAATGAGTGTGTGCAGAGTGATGGAGGGATGAATGAGTGTGTGCAGAGTGATGGAGGGATGAATGAGTGTGTGTAGAGTGAGGGATGGAGGGATGAATGAGTGTGTGTAGAGTGATGGAGGGATGAATGAGTGTGTGTAGAGTGATGGAGGGATGAATGAGTGTGTGCAGAGTGATGGAGGGATGAATGAGTGTGTGCAGAGTGATGGAGGGATGAATGAGTGTGTGCAGAGTGATGGAGGGATGAATGAGTGTGTGCAGAGTGATGGAGGGATGAATGAGTGTGTGCAGAGTGATGGAGGGATGAATGAGTGTGTGCAGAGTGATGAAGGGATGAATGAGTGTGTGCAGAGTGATGAAGGGATGAATGAGTGTGTGAGTGATGAAGGGATGAATGAGTGTGTGTAGAGTGATGGAGGGATGAATGAGTGTGTGTAGAGTGATGGAGGGATGAATGAGTGTGTGCAGAGTGATGGAGGGATGAATGAGTGTGTGCAGAGTGATGGAGGGATGAATGAGTGTGTGCAGAGTGATGGAGGGATGAATGAGTGTGTGCAGAGTGATGGAGGGATGAATGAGTGTGTGCAGAGTGATGGAGGGATGAATGAGTGTGTGCAGAGTGATGGAGGGATGAATGAGTGTGTGCAGAGTGATGGAGGGATGAATGAGTGTGTGCAGAGTGATGGAGGGATGAATGAGTGTGTGCAGAGTGATGGAGGGATGAATGAGTGTGTGCAGAGTGATGGAGGGATGAATGAGTGTGTGCAGAGTGATGGAGGGATGAATGAGTGTGTGTAGAGTGATGGAGGGATGAATGAGTGTGTGTAGAGTGATGGAGGGATGAATGAGTGTGTGCAGAGTGATGGAGGGATGAATGAGTGTGTGCAGAGTGATGGAGGGATGAATGAGTGTGTGCAGAGTGATGGAGGGATGAATGAGTGTGTGCAGAGTGATGGAGGGATGAATGAGTGTGTGCAGAGTGATGGAGGGATGAATGAGTGTGTGCAGAGTGATGGAGGGATGAATGAGTGTGTGCAGAGTGATGGAGGGATGAATGAGTGTGTGCAGAGTGATGGAGGGATGAATGAGTGTGTGCAGAGTGATGGAGGGATGAATGAGTGTGTGCAGAGTGATGGAGGGATGAATGAGTGTGTGCAGAGTGATGGAGGGATGAATGAGTGTGTGCAGAGTGATGGAGGGATGAATGAGTGTGTGCAGGGATGAGTGATGGAGGGATGAATGAGTGTGTGTAGAGTGATGGAGGGATGAATGAGTGTGTGCAGAGTGATGGAGGGATGACAGAAATGCTCTCAGTAGAAACCAGTGCTTCATTATCTGCTGTAAAAATTCCTCAGCATGCAGAGAGGAGAAACAGGGAATCGAACCGCTGATCGATTCTCAGGCAAGCTGCTTTGCCTCCGAGCCACAGCCGCTCGAATTATGGAAAATAATATTTACACAAGCAGAGACAAACATCAGGCTGAACGTGTCAGGACGCTCGATTTATCTCGACTTTCAGGATCTGTTTTGAGGTTGCATGTTTCTCCCCTCTGCAAAGATAGATCATCGTATTCAGAGGTGAAAGGTCAGAACTTTTCTCCATTTTTATCTGCCTCGTCTCTCAACAGAAATAATAATTTTTCAACCTATCAGATTTGTTTACATCGCAGACGTTACAAAACATGTGACAGAAGCAAGAAACAGAACAAAACACGTTCAAAATACTTTTTTCTTAGCGCTCCCCCGACTCACTTTTTAAGGTTCAAGGTTCAAGGTTTCTTTATTGGTACCTAAAAAGGCAGACAGGAGATTCAGCGTTGCAAAGATACATTAAAGCTGGTTGACGTGAAAGTCAGCTTGTCAAATGTTCCTATTTCTCAAACTTAATTTATTCCCTCAGTAAACAGTTTCCTCATAAGTTTAAAGTCTCAATCTGTAGTTTTAAGTCTTCTTCATCATATCATGATGTTCGTTTAGTTAATCATGGTCCCATGTAGAGACATAGGGCCAGATTTACTAAGCTCACTATTAAAGAGTACTAAATTGCGTGTTCACTCCAAAAGTTTGCACGTTTGGTTGGTGGGCGTTTTGCGGGTGATCTACACACAAGAAAATGTGCGTGAATGACACCAGGTGCAAACCTTGTGGAGGCGGTACTATTTAAGTTGGGTTTTTGCATGTTCTAGTGGTTTACATCACGGAGAGTTTGGACAGAAAGCAGGACGACTGCAAGCGCAAAATAGGTCTTCGTGGGAGAGGCAAATAAACGCACAATACTTTCGAGTTACAGCAGATAAATCTGAATATTACAAAGAAATATTTTGGGTATAAGAAAACCTCGGCATTAAACAGGGCCTCTCTTTTCTTCCCTTAATCTTAAGAATGAAGTGTCATACATTGCACAGGAGGTGCGAGCTGTGTCCTCTGTGGCACTGGCGCTCTACACTCGGGCCGTTGTTGCGCACCAGACAGCTGGCCAGCGCTGTGTCTGATCGGACATAAATGCCCTGGAAAAAGGTATCGAAGACGGGGGTACAAACAGTGGTGAGGTCCCCCAATCCAAGCAGCAGCGGGCTTTAGAGGGAGGTGACGAGCACATTATGGAGAGGAGCGCACCGGAGGGGGCGAGCTGGGGGAGAGCAGCCCGAGAAAAAGGAAATCCTCAGTTTAAAATGTAATGTTGGCAAAAAGAGGGAAATAGGACGACATAAATGTCAATGTTGAAATTCTTTTGAATGCAGAGGCTGTGAATGTTTTGTTTGGCTGTAGGCTATGAAAACAATAGCCTGTAGTTTAATCATTGTGTTTCTCTTCCTTAACGATTAGAATATTGAATCAAATAAAAAAAATAAATGCATGCCATTCATTTTCCTGTGATTTGAAACACGTAAACACGTGGGGAAAACGTGATCTTTATGCCTTCTTTTGTTGTGCCCATGTCTCCTCCTAACTACAATAACTGCAGCCTGTTGTGCGTAACGCTGTGCTCCTGGATTAGCACGTTCCTTTCAAAGGTGTTAAATTCAGACACCGTCACAATCACTGCAGTTTTTGTCAGGCTTGGTAAATCGCAATGCGTGTACTAACTTAACTTGTTTGCATTTTCTCCTCCCAATATTTAGCACGTTAGGGCTGTTTTTCAAACTGGTGTTGGGTGAGAGGATGCCATGAATGAATGAAGACAACCTTGAACTGTGAACCAGCAGCAGCTGCCGCTCTGCAGCTCAGAGTGCCGCCTGACAGCTGATTGTTATCGTGTCTGAAACGGGACAGATGGGGGAGGCAGAGATTTTGCAAGTCGACAGGAAGCGAGATATAAGCAATCTGATAAAGCTGATGGCCCTAACACACACTCATATGCACACGCATACACACAGCACTCGTACTTTGTCACTGCTGCAGGGTGTCTCTCCTTAAACGACTTTATCTTCTCCAACAGGAAACAGCTGCCAAGTTGCCCACAGCCGGGAGAGGCGTGTGTGAGCCTGTGTGTGCTTTAGTAATGCTTTCACAATACAAGCTGTTCCATACAACACACAGCCAAAAAACCCCTCTGAGCTGATGTCTGTGCACCTGGTGGGTCTGTGTTTCATATGTGTGTGTGCGTGTGTGTGTGTTTACCTGGTGAACCTCGTGCCAGCCGTTCTCGTCCTGGCAGCAGACGAAGGCGTGGTGGTTGAGGAGGAGCTCGCAGCAGCCGGGGTCTCCCCCCACCACCACGCAGTGATACAGGGGAGTCAGGCCGCGGCTGTCCTTGTAGTCTGGAGAAGCGCCCAGCTCCAGCAGAGTCTGGAAACAGTCAAACAGGGGACAGATCGTTTATGGGTCGTCAAGCTTGGAGCCATTATGGATGATGAAGGTGGATTGACAAGCTTTTCCTCAAACCCCTGACAATGAAGGGAACAGAAACTAAGATGATGTGACACAAATCTGCTCGATATAAGTGACTCCACCAACGGTGTCATTTTCTTTCTGGACAGGCTCAAATCACTTCTCTCAGTATTACCTGAAGAGGTCTGTGTGATGTGATCCCAGAAGCCACAAACAGCCATCATGTCACTCCTGTCTATTTGTCCTGTACAACATCAGGAAGATCAGACCTTACCTGTCAGAGCTGCACAGCTCCTGGTACAGGCTCGTGATATCACACATCGACTACTGCAGCTCCTTACAGGCAGGTCTTCCTACATGAACTATCAAACCCCTGCAGATGATCCAAGACGCAGCAGCAGCAGCACCACTGGTCATCAACCTCCCCAAAAGAGCACATGTCACTCCGCTGTTCATCTCCCTCCTCTGGCTCCCAGTTACTGCTCACATCAAATTTAAAACTCTGCTGCTCGCTTACAAAACTTACTACACTCCCTCTCACCCACTACGCTCTGCCAATGAAAGGCGTCTGATCCAACCTTCACAAAAGGGTCCTAAGTCTCTGACTAGACTCTTCTCCTCTGTCGCCCCCCGGTGGTGGAACGAACTACCAAACTCCATTCGCTCTGCAGAGTCCCTCTGTACCTTTAAGAAAAAGCTAAAGACCCAGCTCTTTATGAACACCTAAGACCTTCATGACGATGATGACAATATTTGGGATGGTTTTGATGCTGATTAGAACTCTCAAGAACAGCTGTCGATGTTGTGCTCTTCCTCTGGTCACTTCCTGTCAGCACCTCTGCTCACTTCCTGTCAGCACCTGTGTGTCCGATCAGACTTAAAGCTGTTTGTTCTCACTTCCTGACGTTGTCTCCTCTCTACATCCTTGCTTATGATGTTCTTACTCTGATGTTCGTCGCTTTGGAAAAAAATCGTCTGATAAATATTTTGTAGAATTGTCTATCTCTTTAGGGATCCTTTCTGTAAAGTTTTCAGACACTCAAAGTTACAATCTGAGTCCATCAGTGACGGGAGAACTACTTTTAGAGGATGCAAAAGGATCATGTTGCAGCCATGACGTCATGTGTCACGGCTGCAAGCTGAAGCATCTCCGACCTAGCAGTCATTAAAAAGGGTTCAAGACGAATAATACCAGAATGACCCATTAGTTCCAATGTGTTCATTGTTCCTCTGTGAATGAATCCTCCTCATTATCATAATAATCACTTCCCTTTAGCTCTTTTTAAAACACACATTACCAGCTCCTTTAATGCACATCAAAGAAAAAGTCCAACTGATTAAAATATCAAAGATGTTAAAAATGAAAAGGATAACTGGAGATAAAGAGACATTATTAAAGTGCATGCTTGTAAAGGTGAACTGTCAGATGGATTCAGGGGATGAAAAAGGGTTTTCTTGACTCAGCTGACAGCGTGAGTCTTGTTTCCTCTCATGTCTTCATGAGGCGTCATGTGCTGACTGACAGGTCTGCTCACATCACACTCTGATGTTGCTTATGCTACAAAAACATTCTCAGAGTACGATCTTTGTCAGACCTGCCTCACAGCTTCAAAACTTCCAAGAAATGATCAGGTGTGCAAAGATGAGAGAGAACAGAGTGAGGGGAGAGCGTGTGTTTCCTCACCATCAGAGTGACCTGGTTCTTGGAGCGTGCAGCTTTGTGCAGCGCCGTCATGCCGTCTTTGGCTCTGAAGTCCAGGTGAGCTCCTCCGTTCCTCAGAACTTTGATCATCTCCACCACGTTGTCCAGGTGAGCTGCAAACGTCAGCGGGCTCTCTGGAAAACAACAAGTGAAAGAGGAATGTTTATGTGAATGTTGTTTGTGTGCGCCAGCAGGAGAACAGAGCGCTGATCAGGATTCAAAATCATCCAGCAGCTTCTCTTTCATCGTCTTAAAAATCAGAGATCAGAGAGTCACAAGCGCAGAAATGAATAATAACTCTTTGGGCTAATACCAAGGATGTTAAGACAAAGTTTGTTTCCTTTGGTACAAACCACCCAAGAAAAGTCTGCCTGCATTTCTTTATTGTAGCATTTCCGGGTTCAGTACAGTTTGGTGTCATGATGCCGACAATTCATTCAAGACCTTGTATCTGAGGAGCCCAATCGGACTGAAAGCGGTTTGCACTTTCCTATTTTCTAGATCCTTGCTTTTGTTGTTTTTACTTTCTGATGTTCGTCGCTTTGGATAAAAGCGTCTGACAACTGAATTGTAGAATTGTAGATATCTCAGGTGTTACAAGCCGAGCAGAGGCAATGTGGTGATGTGTGTCTGTGTGCATTCTTTGAGTGTGTGCTATATGTGTGTGGGAAGGTCCCACTGTTTGTTTACAGGTCGGCTCTCTTGAGCTATTGCACAATGTATGCAAAGTGAAACCACACACACTTGTGCGTTAATACAATGTGCATGTGTAACTCCAGACAGCAACGTTGAGAACCGCTTTGTCCCCAGACCTCCAGTTAGACCCTGGTCCCTGCAACGCAACAACACCAAGTCCCTCTAAAGGTTCTCAACGACCAAAACTCTCTTTATTTTACATTTATAAACTCATGGCTGACGTCACAATGGACATGTCTATTTCTTGGTTACAGTCCACGATTTAGATTGTCAACATGTGATGTTCAGACAGTTTTCTAAATACTCCAATACATGACCAATCAGATCTGCATGGGGCCTATACTTTCCTCATAGACAAATCCCAGACTAAGGACTTTTTCAGGGTTCAGATAAAGACCTGTTGTTTTTTTGTTTAGACTCAGGCGCCTGCTGTGGAAACACACCGAGTACCTCTAAAGGTTCCTCGTCCCTTGGGAGAGTTCCTGCTGTGAGATTGTGGCTTTCCGCCGCTCAAAGAAGAGGAGTGTTTACACTTTCTGCAGGTAATCACATGGAGAGCTTTTTTCCTGGACAGCTGAAATCAATCGCTCGTAAGAGCCGAGTAACAAGAGTCCACTCTGCAGGGACGATTCCCCCCAGAAGCACCAAGGCGTTCATTTAACAATGGCTCTCAAAGCCCATTAAAACAAGCTCAATTCTCTGCTTAATAACCTTCCTGCTTTCAGCTGCACCTGTGCTCGCCTCAATAGACCTCTTTTATTTATTTTCTATTCTGGCCAATCTGTGTCCACTCAGTACAGGCAGTGTTAAGAGCACCTGCACCGCGGAGATACTCTTGACACCTTCATTAAACGCTCATAAATAAACATGATTGTCACCTTTAATGCTGAGGTGAAGCAGCGCTGAGTATCAACATGATTGGGATGAGCTTTTAATCACAGGACGCTTTCAATGATTGCTCAGTTTGTCTGAAATCTGTGAAAGGTAATCGTCAGTGCAGAGAGGAAAGCGTTGGATTTAAAGGATCCTCTTAAGACCGGAGGATTTCTTTTGTTCTTCTGGACGCTGAGTTCTCACTGAGTGCTCTTCATAACTGTCTGATTATTTTCTCATTCCATCAGTGCAGCTGAACCTAGTGTGACTCATAATATACAGCTCTGAACTCCACTCCCTCTTCATGCTCCCTGCGGGGATTTAACTACAGGCCTCGATTGCTGCCTGTCAATACTATGGATCGCTACCTCTTGTTCCCAGTGAGCATGATACTCATCCAAAAGTCAATAAGGCTGATAACAGAGGTGTGGACGGGGTTAGGAGGCACGGTCGAGTGACTCGATATTAAATTCTCCCCACCTGCAGGCTGGAAAAATTGGTAAATAAGAAAAGAAAGTAGCCTGTGCTTTAAAGGAAGACTTTTTGATCTAATAGATGTCGCCCTTGAGTTCCAGTATGAAACCAAAACAAACTGCTGTTTGGCCACGCCTCCTCCATACTGAAGCCTCCGCTCTCCTCCAGAGACACACCTCCAACCCCCCTCCACTCGAGTTCACACAAAGGAGTTATGGATTAGAACGCACCATAATTAAACACTAAGCACAAGCACACAAAAAAACTGTCCTCTGCTCGAGCTGCAATCACCTGTGTGCTGCATTGTTGTGTTAGCATGCTAATGTTAGCACTCTTTAGTTAGCTCGTAGCTTCACATTGCATGTAAACTGACACAGAATGAGCGTGATCTAAAAACTCTTACTAACATCCAAATAATCAGTGAGTATGTTCTTCTTCTTCTCTCTAGTCCTTGACTAAAACAGCTTTTATACACAAGGGGAGTGACAGATACCAAAATCTCAGAACCCATCGGCAAGCACGCTCATGGTCTGATATTTCTCAATAATCCCGGTGAAGTCAGAGGTTAGCGTTAAAAGACTTCCAGCCAAGACTTCCTTTAACATGTGGTGTTAACGTATGCAACGCCTGAAAGTGACTAACAGGTGACATGGTGGTTATATATGGCTATCTCAAATATAACTCTAATTTGATTCAATAGAAAATGTTGACGTATTTACAGAGGTTCTGACTTTCCGGCTCTGACTTGTGGAAAAAAAACAAAATATGTGTACTTCCCTGTTTTTAAACACATGTTAGTCATTGTTGCGTCGCCTAAAAGCCTCTAAATAAGAAACACGATCATCAGAGTTCCAGTTTGCAAACTTGATGTTGCTATACTGTACTACGGTCACTCACCTAACGTTACCACCGAGCCCCGCAGAAGCTAAACTGAAGATATAAGGCCACCCATCTTGTCATATTTTGAAGCTTCAGGCTGCAGACCGAGTGTATTAAAAAGTTGGCATTGAGATCGTTATAATTGAGAGTGATGCATCGCTTCGTGCAGTTTACAGAGGTTGTGTCGCGAAAGATAACCGAGTTCCTCCTTTTGTCCGTGTATCCGACAACAACATCTGATATTTACTCCGAGCTCCACAACAAATTCAGTCAAGTGTACATGTGAGTGGATGTGCATGTGTGGAGAAAATATGTCATTCTTCCTGCCAGGTTGAAGTCTCCCCTGACGCAGGACTCTCAGGCCTTGGAGTGGCTCTGTGCCGTATTATAACTCTGATTGTAGCCCAGCGTTGCATGAAACACCTGCTCACTCTGTCTAGCTGGAACATTTGTAAGCTGTGATGGGAACACACTGGCATTAGGACACAGCTCATTACTCCGGGTTTTGGTTGCCCCACAGTGAGGGTGTGTGTGTGTAAGAAAACTGCAGGTCTGCGGCTACGATAACTCAGCAGGCACTCCCTCTGAGGAATACCTGGTACACAGATCACATGAAGACACTCGGTGCAAACATAATCCTTCACTGCTGCCTGGAGGGCTACACACTCTGCTCCATTAACTGACTCAGTGGTATCTTTTTGTGGTGTTTAGCAGGGCTTTTTAAATTAAGCACAGAGGCTGCACAGCTATCTCTATTACAGCACAGCTTACTATTACAACTCCAACAACCCGGACTGGGACTTTGATAAGCTTATGCCCTCCTAAAATTCCAACTAGTAATTTTATTGGCTTCAGGCCACGCTAGTAGTGTCAGTTTGTTTGCCCAAGTTTAAAACATTTGATTCCTTAAAACTCAACAAAGGCAGACATAGAGTGCTTTTATTGGATTTGTTTCGTTTTTACTTAGGGTGTTTTCTAAGTCACTGAACCCTAGTAATTAATAAATGTATCAGAAATATAATTGAACCTCCATGGCTTAAATATGAAGCTAGCTTCAAAGTACCAAAAATGCAGTTCCTCCAGTGTCCACTAGAGTCAGTCTCCTGCAGTGAGTCAGTCCCCATAGAGCCCCATGTTAAAATAAACATGTTTACAGTCTGGTACAAAAACAGTTTGAGCTCATTTCTCTTTTCAACTGTACGGCGGTGAATGTTTATACAACTTTACATTATATTAAGACTTAAAGGAGTGTAGAATTAGGGGGCGTGGCCTCTTTGAGTTTCTATTTCAGTCCCCGACCTTTAACCTCTGGGCTGTATTTGTGCTGTTGGAGCCTTTTGGAGATGTATTCATGTAAACAAGTCTGAGCTCCACTTTTTACAACCGGACACGTCAGAACTTCTTAGCAACAATTAGCAGCTAACTGAGTCTGTGCTCACTACACCTGGCTTGATGGCTCGTTGAGTGTTTGTTATAGTTAATTATATGTGGTGACATGTGCATGAGCATCTTTGGGCACACTTACGACTACAGAATTATAGTTGAATAAAGTTGTTACTTTTTTTTCAAAGTCACTGCAGGAGACAGCATCTAGTGGCCTTTCATTCATTGCTAGGATTTTTGTGAGGTGGAAAAGGTACCTTGCTGTAAGTGTTAATTCCATATCTGATTGACAGTGTTTGATGTTTGTGCAGCCTTACCTCCAGTGTCACTGTCCTGGTAGTTTGGATCGAAGCCTCGTTCCAACATCTTTGACACTTTGTCCACCTGATTGTGCTGGATGAGGTCCATAAACTTCCTCAGATTGGCCTGCACAAAACCAGAGCAGAGGAAGAGCGATTACAGCGAGAAGAAAGAACAAATGGTGGTGGGTGTGAGAGCGAGAAAAGGCAGGAAAGAGGTTCAGAGCTGTAAAGAGACTGAAATAGAAGTAGAGCTAGAGAAAGGTGCAAAAGGTCAAACATAACTGAAGGTGAAAAGCGGAAGTATTTAGGAAAACTGTGTGAAACTGAGAGAGTCAGAGTTATAGATGGAGGGATATAAAGTAGGATAAAAGGCGAGTAAAGGTAGAAACAGGAGAGGAGATGACAGGATTCACAGTGGGGCCATTGTGGGGAGAGAATCGCTGCTTCTTTCTCTTCTGTTGCCGTCTGCTTTCTTTCCAGGCCGCACGACAAAAATAGATAAGAGAGCAGCTCCCCGAAGGAGAGCAGGAAATGAGGAGAGCAGAATGAGATGGCAGAAGAAGGAAAAGACAATGGGTAACAATAAAAGAATAGACGGAGAGAGAGGAGACACAAGAAGAAATGAGGAGGAGGAGAGAAAAGGCAGGGGCACGAGGTGGGAGGAGACTGACAATAAGGCAGGGGTGTCCTGATCTCCATGTGCTGCCCCCGATCCTGATCCAGATCCAAGTGTTATATTGAGTGCTGGCCAAACGAGAGAGCGAGAGAGAGAGAGAGAGAGAAAGGGAGGGGATATTTATACCATCTCCAAAACTGAAACTGCAAACATGAAGATGTTGCCACCAGCTATTGGAATTATTATGTTCATTCTCCTCCCATAGAGTCCCCAGATTAGCCTGTTAGCATCATGTCTGGACTCAAAGAAACCCTGTACAGTTAAAGAAGGGTGACACTGTATGAAGAGTAAGAGAGTAGGGCCATGTATGGATCCCTAACACAGGACTGTGGCCTGAATTCGAGTCCACTGTGAAACCACCAGCCAAATTTGACTGTGTGTTGACTTCTTTGAGGGCTGCACGGTGGTTCAGTGGTTAGCGCTGATGCGTCACAGTGAGATGGATGCTGGATCTAATTCCCACGACACAAATGGCTGATTCCCGTCGACTACGCTCTGCCAATGAAAGGCGTCTGATCCCACCTTCACAGCAGGGGCCCCAAAGTCTCTAACTAGACTCCTCTCCTCTGTCCTCTGAGTCCCTTTGCACCTTTAAGAAAAAGCTAAAGACCCAGCTCTTTATGGACGATAACGACGTCGATATTTAGGATGGTATTGACGCTGATCGATGTGTTGATGTTGTGCTCTGCCTCTGGTCACTTCCTGTCAGCACCTCTAGTCACTTCCTGTCAGCACCTGTGTGTCTGATCAGACTTAAAGCTGTTTCTTTGCACTTCCTGACGTTGTCTCCTCCTCTCTACATCCTTGCTTGTGTTGTTCTTACTCCCTGATATTCGTCGCTTTGGACAAAAGCGTCTGTTAAATGAATTGTAGAAGGATTCCAATCCTTTGTTGTGCTCTATTCTTCACTCTTACTGCCTTTAAAAGTTTCCTATCTGAGTCACCAACAAATTCAATGTTTAATTTTTCATTGATTTACTTGTTAAAAGCATAATTCTCTGCATATTTAAAATGGTGATTGCGACTATCTTAGTTCATCCATAAAACTAAATCATACCGAGCCAGTATGAGCAAAGACATGGAGCTGTTTACACATCAGTCATGATGAGTCACTGCCACAGTGTAATATCTGGAGAGGTCTGGGGGTCATGTACACGGCCCTGTGTTTGCATGCAATGTGTTATTTAACGTAGCTGGTGTGTGTGTGTGTGTGTGTGTGTGTGTGTGTGTGTGTGTGTGTGTGTGTGTGTGTGTGTGTGTGTGTGTGTGTGTGTGTGTGTGTGGCTGCAGGCCCAGTGAATCACAGTCTGGAGGTTGGTTGGTTTTCCCCTCTCTCTCCCTCTCTCTCTCTCTCTCTCTCTCTCTCCTCTCTCTCTCTCTCTCTCTACATCTCTCTCCTGAACAGGTTGTGATGCTGGCAGTTGATTGGCTGAATCAGTGTGAACTCCAGCCAACCACAGATCAGCAGACTGCACGGCAAACAGGATTAGCTTCAAAAGTTGGGTCAGGCCAAGAATTGAGGAAAAAAAATAAACGACACAGTTTGGGAGAATAAATGTCTGGTATAGAGAGGACACAGTCTCTGACTAATGATTTCTGCAGAGTGTGAGTGTGCATACTCCACATTTGGACGGCTGTCTTATTGTCTCTTTTTATTTCTCATCTCATGTCCTGCTCTCTGATGTAGAATGAGAGCAGCTGTCAGACAGTTTCCTGGTGTGCTGCTAACAGAGAGCTGCCACAGACACTTATGCTTTGGCTGCACAACAGGATTACAGTAGCTAAGGGACAGCATCCCAAAGCTAGCCTTACACAACCATGAGGAAGCTAAAAAATCTTTAATTTACTGCAGAGATTTATTCTATTCATGTGGGAGGGCAGAGATAAAGGAAGGGAGGGGTCTGCTGAAGGGGATGACGGGAGAAAAAGAGACTCATGGTGAGCAGACTGAGCAGCTTCTCTGTATCATCACAAAGGGACAGAAAAGCTTTAAAGGTCACATTTGATGCAGAGTACACGTCACCATGTTCCAATAACACTAACATGTGTCTCTAGTCTGTCTCCAAACCCCCCAATGATGAGAAAAGTCCATCTTTTCAGAAAATGTGTGCTCAAACAGGCTGTTTGGAGATTTTCCCTTCATGACATCACAAAGGGCAGTAGCCCCTCCCCAGGTGGGTGACACTCCCACAGCTAGGTGTTTGTTCTGCCCTCTGAGTCTGCCTTCTCACCGTAAACAATAGGACATGGAGCGAGAAAGCCCGAGTACACCCAAGCCCTTCCAGAGAGGGGGCGTGGTCAGACACAGCTCATTTACATATTTAAAGGTACAGACACAGAAACAGCCTGTTCTGAGCAGGGCTGAAATAGACGGGTTATGATCAAATACAGGATCAGTTTGTAATCTTGAGCTTGCAAAGTGAAATGCTTTAAGAGCTTCCACATCACTACATGTAAAGCCTGACTCAGACTGCAGGATAATCAGGATGATTTGAGGTCTGATTCCTCCTTCATGACAACATCGGGGGTGTTCTCAACTCAAGTCTGCTCCCAGTGGATTATCTGCCCAGTTTATTTTGTAGTGTGAGTGGTATAAAGAGCCAATCTTAATGTCCCTGATCAGCTCAGACAGCATCAGGGTCGCCCGATTTATATCGAGCATGTAATATTTAGGATTCAGAAAAACGTTGAAAAGTGAGTTTCATCATCTCATCATGAACTTCACTTTTCAGTCCGTGGGGCATAAGGTAATGTGAACATATGACATTTAATGTGTTTCATTATGATCTTTGAATTCTTCCCTGGCTGATGATGCCCTAAGCAGCTTCGGGTGATTATTATTCTCAGTGGCTCTCTGATTGGTTGATTGAAAATTGAGGCAGTCTCTTTGGTTGTCATAGAAATGTTTCCTTGCTGCCAGTATACCCGATGAAGGTCGGTTAGACCGAAACGTTGTACGATCTGACAAAGCATAGAGTCAGACTAAGTGCGGGAGCGTTTCTCAGAGTCAAGATGTTTAGGATTTAAAATCTTGAAGATTACATCGTGAAAGGATCTGGCAGAAGTCTCTTGTGACTATACGATAACCGCGAGAGACATGAGAGGACAGCAGTAATGACGACTTGCAGCAAGACACAACCCGTACGGCTGTGCTGGACACCTGAGATACATCTGACCTCCAGCTCTCACTGACCCACAGACAATCCATGTTGTCCGCAGCTCATCAGACATTTCTTCACCCAAAGTCCTCTGCTGGACACAATAATCTTAATAATATCTTGTAGTATGAGATGAGTCGTTATTGTCATATCCTGCAGTTTGTGCATGCTTGAGTTAAGAGCAGATCTGTAAAGATTCTTCTGATGTGACTGGTGATTTTAAAACTGCTGTCGTCTGAGCCGGGCGTTTAAGCTGCCAACAGTTCAACCGAACGGACTCAAAAACTCTCTGAATCCACCAGTGAAAGAGCTGAAAAGATCATTCATCTGTGGGAGCACTGCTCTTTGTTTAAATGATACTGCACGTTGATGACACCCTTGGCATGGAGGAGTCATTACTGTGGAGATTTCACACCGCTCTTCCCTCGGGCCGGCCTCAGTCGCAGCGAGGTGGGCGGTGCTGGGACATCTTTTTCTTTCAGCTCTCTGTCAGTTCAGTTCGGCTGCTCGTTTCCGTCAGTCTGCTAGCTGGCAATTCTCTCCAGTTTTTCAAAAGAGAGTGGAAGGAAGGCAGAGAACATCGCTGCCCTGTGACGGAGAGGTGATTCAGCAGCTTTCACTGTTTCTAAAAGCTTTTATTCTGCAGAGTCAGGCAGAAAGAGTCTCTGCTGCACAGACACAATGTGGTTTACAGATTCCTTTTCATTACCTTCTAACTGTGCTGGGGAAATATCCTTCATGATTCGACGCACACAGAGGACATGGAGCATGCTGTTTGTCTGAATCCAGTTGGAATAAATATTCCTGGATGATGTGATGATTGTCACATCTGCATAACTCCGTCCTGCTTGTGGGCCAGAGCGGCTCTTTAGATCCTGAAATGAATCCTCTCAGCGTGCTGTGTAGAGCCTCCGACAGAGGACACAAACCAGGCTTACAGTTTCAGTCAGAGGTTTGATGTCGAGCAGTTTTCTCTCTTCTTACCTTTGTGTGAAGTTTGGCGATCTGTTTCTCGTCCACATTGGGTTGTCGGTACACTCGGCTCTTATAGCGGAACTGAAAACCAGAAAAGGTTTAAACGTCAATAAAGAGTCCAGCAGTGATCATGTTAATCCTGACTTCTGCTAATTCTACAGTCCTTTACAGAACACAGGAGTTTCTGATCTATTTTCTAGGTTTTGTTTGTGTTAGTTCCAAATTCAGTTTACCTCCAGAGACGGGACCCCCTTGCTGATTGGTTGGGGGTACTCTCGGAGGATGCGTTCTTCGTCCAGGAACTTGCCGTCCCTGCCGTTGCTGGCGGGCTGGAAAAGTCCATAGTTGAGGACGTCCTTCAGGCTCTGATTCAGTGTGCACAGGATCCGCTGCTTGGCAACCCAGACGGTCGCATTAGGGTTGAACCGCATGCATTTCTGATTAGCAGAGAAGAGAGGGGAGAGAGGAGAGAGATGAGAGGAGAGGAGAGGAGAGGTTTGGTTTTCAAAATACCTTTTATTTTACCACTACCTGGAGAAAATTACAACACTGTCACATCATCACTCAGATCAAGAGAAGGAAATAAATAAATAAAAAAAAAATAAAACAAGTGCAACAAAAATCACAACATCAACAAAAACAACATTTACTGCATCAAAAATGAATAATCAGCTCTCCATCCCCACCCACAGAGCACAAAGCTTCTTCCACAGCCCATACACTATTAAAGTCTTGCACATTGTCCATCATTTGATAATAGGCAAATTCTACCTTCAGTCTGGCCTTCAAAAGTCCCTCCAGAACCAGCACCGGTTCCACACAGCCAGTACCCTGAGCTCGGTTCTTGCGTGTAAGCCAAATGGCCAACTTAGCCGAGCCAGATAAAAAGTTCATCAGTGTATGTACAGTCTTTTTCTTTGCAGAATACTTTGGCCCAAAAACAAACAATGCATAAGAGAAATCCTCCCCGAGAGCTTCAAACAAGCTTTTCATAAGGACAAACAAGAGTGAGAGCCTGGGACACTCAACAAACAGATGAGACAAAGTTTCAGTTAGTGAACAAAACAAACACTCCTCTCCCACCCCTGGATCAATGTGCGCTCTGTATCTGTTTGTGGCTATACCCCCATGCACAACCCTCCACTGGAGATCTGCTGTTCTCTTCTCAACAGGCAGCTTGTACAGGGACCGCCAGCTGCCTTTCGGGGAAACCTCCGGGCCAAAAAACTCGATCCACCTCGACTCTTTCACTCCCGACAGACCACGAAGATGTAGGACCTTAACACAGGACTGATAGAGTGCCTTTTTCCCTGCATCCTGGAACTTTCCCAGAACAGGAGTACTAAAGGACAGCAGTCCACCTCCTCTTTCCTGCCACTCCCCGACATCTGGGGTAACAGACAAAGATGGGAAGCTGTATTCGCCCTCTTCACTCCACTGCTCACACAGATTCTCAATGTTTAGAAATGTCACAAGTTTTACTGGAAGTGCAGCAAAGACTTCCTCCACCACTCTTTCAACCACCCGGCTGGAGGTGATATTGGTCCTTTCTTTGAGGGCGTCCAGGGTCAGTCTTACCAGGTGACCCAGTTTTGTGCAGCCTGCCTCTCTGAAACTGGCCCGGAGACTGGCTGACTGCAAAGTTGGAGTCCTTATGAAATCATTAAAAAATAACGGTTCCTCAAAGATCCACATTCCCAGACTCTCAGTTTTTTCCCTTTTGAATGTGTACATTTTCCATGCCTGCATTACAGACATATAAAAGGATGTTAATCCAGTGAGATCCACCTCCTCAAGCTTTAACAGAAAGAGCTGCTTAGTGTACCCCAGCCGTCCAGCTCTCCTCAGCAGCAGTCGAGCGATGTCCATCCAGCTGGGACCACAAGTGAAAAGGAGTCTCTGTGCAGTCTGGAGTCTGAATGAGGCAATTTTTGACTGAATGTCTATAAGTCCATGTCCCCCTTCAGCCACCGGCAGGTAGAGGACTGCCGCCTGGACCCAGTGTTTGCCTGACCAGAAGAAGTCCAGGATGGCCCTTTGAATGTCCTCCACCAGCCCTCTTGGAGGTGTCAAAGCCACAAGTCTGTGCCAGAGAGTCGAGGCAACCAAGTTATTGACCACCAGAACTCTTCCCCTATACGACAACTGGGGTAGCAACCATTTCCATTTAGACAACCGAGCGCACACTTTCTCCCTAACTCCCTCCCAGTTTTTACTTTTAAAGCCCTCGGTACCCAAATAAACCCCCAACACCTTCAACCCCTCCCTCCCCCACTCAAGTCCACCCGGCAGACTGGGCACTGCCTGGTCCCTCCACTCTCCCACCAGTAAGGCACCACTTTTTTCCCAGTTCACCCGTGCAGCTGTTGCCCTTTCATACAGGGACAGGGTGTCCCGCAGACACCGAACGTCCCCCTGATTGGAGATGAAGATGTTTACATCATCAGCATAGGCAGAAATTGTAGGGGGACATTCAATGCTACAGGCCGCGGGCAAAGAAAGCCCGCTGAGCCGGTCCCTCAACCTGCACAGCAAGGGCTCAATAGCCAAGCTGTACAGCTGGCCGGAGATGGGACAACCTTGTCTGATCCCTCGCCGTACAGGGATTGGCCGACTCAACCCCGCCCCCATCTTCACCAAACACTGTGCATCCTGATACAACAAACCAACTAATGACACAAAACCATCCCCAAAACCAAAAGACCTCAGTGCAGAAAACAAATACGAGTGATCCACCCTGTCAAACGCCTTCTCTTGATCCAGAGACACAATGCCAACATTTAGATTATAGATTTTACACACATCAATGACATCTCTGATAAGAAAAACATTATCCATGATTGTCCGGTCTGGAACACAGTAACTCTGGTCTTTATGGACCACACTTCCCAGAACGTCCTTTAGTCTGTTCGATAAAGCTCTGGAGAGGATCTTGTAGTCCGCACAAAGCAAAGCAACCGGCCTCCAGTTTTTTAACAATGCCAGGTCACCTTTCTTGGGGAGCAAGGAAAGAACTGCTCTCTTACAAGAACCAGGAAGAGACCCGGTCCTGCAACACTCCATTAAAACACTATGCAGGTCAGACCCAAGGATATTCCAGAACCTCTTAAAAAAGTCTGTGGACAACCCATCTATTCCAGGTGCTCTTCCTGTTGCCATCTGAGTGACAGCAGCAGTGAGCTCCTCCAGAGACAGCTCCCCTTCCAGAAGAGACCTCTCCTCCACACTGAGCTGAGGGAGACCCTCCAGGAGCTCCCTGCGACACTCCTGGCTGCAACTCTCTGCTCCAAACAGATCCTCATAGAACTGCATGGCGTGACTGCTCATTTCCTTTGGATCAGCTGTTATTCGACCTCCTGGCAGTTTCAGACAAGTCAGCAGCTTTTTTTGAGCCACAGATCTCTCAAGATTGAAAAAGAAAGACGTTGGGGCATCCATGTCTTTGAGTTGAAGGAAACGACTCCGCACAAGAGCTCCCTTCACCCTCTCCTGCAGGAAAGAGCTCAACTCCATACGTTTCTCCTTCAGCAGGGTACCAGTGGTGGGATCCACACTCCCATTTAACCCCTCCTCAAGGTTCTTAATGTTGTCCTCAAGATTTTTAATGACTGTTTTTAATCTAGCAGAAGAGTGTGACGTGTACTGCTGACAAAAAACACGAATCTGAGCTTTACCAACCTCCCACCAAAGCTTCAAAGAATCAAACTCAACTTTTCTTAATTGCCACTGATCCCAAAAACACCCAAAGTTTTTACAGAAAACATTGTCCAGTAGAAGCTTGTTATTAAAATGCCAGAAGGACTTAGCCCTTTCACCTGGTGAAATAATCAGCTCCACACTAACAAAATGGTGATCAGTGAAGCCGACAGGCAGAATATTACAATGAATTAATCTGGGGTTGAGAGTTCTGGAGATGTAAACCCTGTCCAGTCTAGCTGCACACACCCTGTTACTGTTAACCCTGACCCATGTATACTGTCTGGATTGTGGATGTTTCACTCTAAATGTGTCCAACAAATCCAGGTGAGAGATGACAGTGTTTAAAGTCTGGGATGAATGTGGATGTGGCTCCTCTCCTATTCTATCCACGGTGAAATCAAGTGTGCAGTTAAAATCACCACCAAGAATGATCTGATCCTGATTATAGATCAGTAACTCCTTTTGGAGGCGGGTATAGAAAGCTACCCTTTCAGCTCCATTATTTGGAGCATAAATATTAGTGAAGCAGAAAACAGTGTCCTCTATTTCTGCTCTTACAATTAAAAGCCTTCCCTTTACAATTTCAGCACAAGAGACGATCTTTACATTTGCAGATGCTCTAAACAAAATGGCTACTCCTGCACTAAAGTTGGTGCCATGGCTAAGGTAGTTAGAGCCCTCCCACCATAAACCCCAATCTGTCTCATCTGATGGTGTGGTATGAGTCTCTTGTAAAAACAAGATATCAATGTTTTTCTGAGTTGAGATCTCAGAGATAAGGCCCCTTTTCTGTCTGTCTCTCCCACCATTAATGTTAAGAGATCCTATCTTAAGACTCCTCATAGAAAGATCAGAGAGAAAGAACAGATAAGTAGACACAAACAGGGAACAGTAGAAGAAGAAAAACACCTTGTGATGCATGATCATTTCTTTGTCTTCTTCACACTCTTACGTCCAACTTTCCTCAGTGCGGTGATGTGCTTTTTAAGACGGAAACGTTTTTTTGCGTCCAGGAGGTCAAACCCAACCTGTCTTTTCAGTATGCTGACTGACTTTATGAACTTTTCAGTATCACTAAAGTAGTCACTTATTTTTACTGATTTGTTGTACGTTTCATCCATAAATTGATTGATTGACTCTAAAGAATAAAGACCAGAGCCACTATTTGGCAAATCAGCAATGGATGCATTGTCTGACTCATAATCTTCATCCATGTCCTCTCCTTCACATGATGCCTGGCTACAACACACTGTCTTACCTTCCTTCAATGAAACATCTACAACTGCAGAACTTGTGGAATCTTCAGTTTTATCATTATCTACAGTCTGTGATTTTTCTGTAGCCTGAGAGCTGGTCGAAGCCACTTCTACCTCAGCCACGGCCTCAGCACAAGGCGCAGGCGCGGACGCGGCCTCCGCCCCGGGCGCGGACGCGGCCTCCGCCCCGGGCACGGACGCGGCCTCCGCCCCGGGCACGGACGCGGACGCGGCCCCCGCCCCGGGCACGCACGCGGACGCGGCCCCCGCCCCGGGCACGGACGCGGACGCGGCCCCCGCCACATGCGCCACACTAACAGAGCCGCCCGCGTCAGCGGCAGCACTAGCCGCCTCCTGCTGTCTGTGCGGACACGCAAAACGTTTGTGTCCCACATCACCACACTCAAAACACTTCAGTTGTCCCGAGCTCGCATACACCATATAAGAAGCGTCACCGTGTTTCACTCTAAAGGAAACCTCCAGAGTCTGTGTGGGCGAATCCAAAAACATGAACACCTGACGCCGCAAAGATTGAACATGTTTCAGTTTGGGATCTTTACACCCTAGACTCACAGTTTTGAAACCACTCGCAAACTTCCCAAACCTGCGGAGTTCGTTCTCTAACAAGTTGTTAGAAATAAACGGCGGAACACCGGATACGGTGATCCGCGTAGAGGGAACCGACAACGGGGAAACCTGCACAAACAAATCCCTAATGAACACACCACTCTCAATCAGCTGATACACAAGAGGCTCACTCTTCAGAAAAACAACCACAGCCTTGTTCATTCGGGATGCATACAAGAGTTTATCATGGCCTACCTGTTCACCTGCAGCTAACAGAACCTCCTCCACGGTGACAGTACCGTTCGGAGGGACTATCCGAACTCCCTGTCGGAGAGTCGGAGGTGGCGTCTCAGCAGACGCCATTCCTCCCTCCAACCCCTCCAACGATCTGTCTTACACAGCCAACAACACTCAATACAAATATGAAAACAATCTGACCTGATCATGCACTTTGAAAACAGTAGAAAGGATAGCAAACAATTCAATCTCCGCGCCACTCGCAACACCACCACCGACACTCACACTCACACTCACAGGAAACCGGAAACCGGAAACGGAAACGGAAACGGAGAGGAGAGGAGGGGAGAGGAGAGGAGAGGAGAGGAGAGGAGAGAGAGGAGAGAGGAGAGAGGAGAGAGGAGAGAAGAGGGGGGAAAGGAGAGGAGAGAGGAGAGAGGAGAGAGGGTAAGTTAAGAATAACTCCAGAAGAAGACTGTATGGTCCATGTGCTCAGAACAAAACAAACAATGAAGGGCAGTATCCCACTTACATTATAGGTACTTAAAAAAAAAAGGACATTACATGCTTTTGTGTATTTGGCAATCAAAATCTTAATTTTAAAGTGTGTGTGTTTCTGCTTTTTGCAGGTGACGTAGTTTTGTTGCCTTCCTCAGGCTGGGACCTCCAGCAGGCAGCAGTGCCAAGTGAAACTGTCTCCTTTCAATGTGAAGGAGTAGCGGCTCTACTTGTCTGGGCTCCTCCCCCTCTCTCTAAGGCTGACTCAGACACCGCAATCGTCACAACCCAAAGATCATTACCACAGGTGAGGGGTGGGACAAAGGTCGACCGGTAAATCGAGAGCTCTGCCTTCAGGCTCAGCTCCCTCTCCACAAAGGATCAGTACAACGGCAACGTTAATGCCATATGCTAAACCAATCGAAATACAACGGCAACGTTAATGCCATATGCTAAACCAATCGAAATTATTAGACTGGTCGCAAAACCGCAGTGGAAGAATTCAGGTCATGAAAATGTGATAGTGTGGCATTCCCAGAATCCAAAATGTGGATGCTGACAGGGAAGAAACACCCAACTGTGTCCCCAGGAAGTGCAGCATTGCCTTACCCTTATAATTAGAAACCGACAGCGTGATGTGAACTCACCCAGTGTGCATGAAAATGTAGCTGAGGTATCTCCAGGCCTGGGCCCGCAGCTGAGGGTGGTAAGGTAAGGGGCTCTTCAGGAAAGACGGACTGGACACCTGCAGGACCAGGCGGTCCAGCTGGAACCCGTAGTACATGAACACGGCTACCTGGACGAGCAAAAACAAACTTTCCAATTTATAAATTATCTAAGAGCTCTTTTTTTAAATCTCTTTTTTTGAGTGACACCTTTACAATAAACTTGTCTCATTTGATAATGATATTTAATCCAGAATTTTCATAGGCAGTCACTCCTCATCACTGTGTTTTTTTTTGTACAAATTAACAAAAAAACGGCTCTCTTTTTTTTTTTTAAAGATTTGTTTTGGTCCATTTTTGCCTAATTAGATAGGACAGCTGGAGAGAGACAGGAAATATTGGGAGGCGAGGGTGAGTGATAACAGGCAGCAAAGGGCCGAGGACGGATTCGAACCCGCGGCCGCTGCAGTGAGAACCTCAGCCTCCACACTTTGGGCGTGTGATATAACCACCAAGGCCATCCAGCGCCCCACAACTTCTCTTCTAAGGTTAACCTATATTGTGAGGTATGTTTGAATAAAAAGTATTCTCCTTTCTTTATACATCTTAAAAACTTGAATCTACATGTCTTTGTCAACTCTGTAAATCAGGATTAGAAGAAGCGGAATAGCTTGTAGCAAAGGGACATCATCACAGTCTTTAACAGTTTTATTTAACATCCCAAAATGATCGTCAGCAGTAAGTAGGAAATTATTGCTGCTTATCAAAAAAAAGATCCTCAGAACTTCTAGTGGTCAAATACTTTCCAGTGCATCATCATTTAACAGGGGAGGGTAAGTCACACAATCTCAAAGGATTTACCTCAGCAATAGTGATGACCAGGATGAGCCAGGGAGGTGGGCAGTAGGTGTAGCTGTCAAAGTACCACTTGCGGTCGACCTCACGGGGCAGCGTCTCGTAAGCGACATGTCGGACGAGCCTCTGGGGCAGACCCAGGCCCACCTCATCTCTCAGGCTGCAGCCTTTCAGCTGCCTGCTGCCCTGAAGGATCGCCCTCCGGAAACTGTTGGAACGCTTGTTGCTCATCTGGAGAACCAAAAAAGGGGTTTGTGGAGAAAGAGGAGACAGAGTGAAGGAGAGAGAGGAAGAGAGAGTTAGAGATCAGCTGTTCAGCAGGATTTTATTTAGCATCCTCTTCAACCACAAGAACTTACTTAATTCAACACATAAGCACTTCAAGAAACCGCATTTCTTAGTTAATGTTCATCAACAGGAGAGTCTCCTCACATGGGGGCTCTGGGTTAACACCAAACATAAACACATGCCATTCCTCCTCAGCCCAGGCCCCGCCCACTTCACCCATGGCAACAGAATGCCTGCATCTTCACCTAGCAACCACAAAACCCTTCTCCACATCCCTCTCTGTCTACGAGAAGTTCATTTCCAAACATGCAGCGAATATGATAATTTGTTATGGCTCGCAACACAAGCAATTCATCATTCAGAGGCTTTCAGTGATGGAGGATCCTGTCAGCCACTATAAATGTTGTTTCTCTGTGCACATTTTCAAGGCAGAATCATCTTTGCTGAATTAGCGCATCATTTTGACAGATACACTGTCCCATTTGTAAAAAAAAAAAAAAAGGGGGCGAGCTTCTTTTCAGCCTTGTTCATTTCACAGAGAATATAGGAAACCTAATCATGCATATTCACGAGAGCAAATGGAGAAATTGACCTTTTCTTTAAGACTCTGTGATGAGACATTCAGTAGATATTCTTCCGAATGGTTTCGTATTGAAATGGCAAAGAAAGAGAAAACTTGGTGCACCTTTACTTTTTCTTACTTTTCTTCTTTGGTTTTTTTCTGCACACAATTTGTCTGAAAGGTGCTATTCAAATCAAGTTTGATTGATTGATGTAAATGATGACATACTGTATGTACACAGTAAGACATCCTTTTGAGTTCTCCCTGAAGATGAGATGAACTCAGACTGATGTGAACTTGAGGTAATCTGATATCCTGATGAGGTTTTATCTCCAGCCTGTCCTCCAGCTGAGGACTAGTGTAGTTAACTACAAATAACACAAGAGCTATATTGTACGATCTGTAATGATATGTCTGTTCAATTCAGTTTCTGTTTTAAAAATGCAAACCTTAAAACAAAGTTAAAAAAAAAACACACTCGTACTCACACATTTTCATTTGAACACATGCACAACACTGAGAAACAAAAGTCTACGGAGATTATTTATTGAATTAAATTCCATTCTCTATCTCATGTTACAATTATTCAAGGACTGCAGGGTGAGGTCACGTAAAGTTGGGAGAATCTCTTGAAACATTTCCTTGACATTTAAACATAGCACTAATGAGGAGAAATGCATTCATTTCTACCCACCCAAGAGTTGAAAACAAAAGTAGAGATAGGATTGAATAATGTGAAGGCGATTCAGCTTCTGGTTTGGGAAGATTGATATATCAAATCCGACCTCAGCCCTTTGCTGTGTGTCTACCCTCACTCTCTCATCCCAATATTTACCCTTTCCTCTTCAGCTGTCTTCTTTCATAAAGGCATGTTAATACAATACATTTCCATACTATGTGTTTTAAAGGGACACCATCCCAGTTATTTTGATGCTTGATAGATACTGAAGCTTCACAAAAGCTTCATATTCTAAACCCAAAGCTGCCTCGAGGGCGTGAGCAGCAGTGGTCCATTCATATTCACATGTCGGTTCAACTGAACTATGAGTGATAGTTGAGAGGTACTCTATCTAAGTGGGTCTATATCCTGAATTTTTGGGACAACTGAAGAAACTGTCTAGATTGCACAATGCACTGGCAGTGTTTCCGTCCCAAAAAGGTTGGCTATGTATTTGTGAAATTACGACAGTGTGCAGGTGATGCCTGAATTTTTTGGTCTTTAAAACCTTCTGCTTTTTTTTGTGGCCATAGTATGGAAACTAGTGTCGATATGGCTTGATTTTTTACTTATCTCATATCAGAGATTAAATTCTGGTATGGTGACTACCCTAACAGGTTCTGTTTATCCCCGTTTCCACAAAGCAGTCCGGTTCAGTTCGGTTCGGTACAAGTCATTTCAAGGCTGTTTGTTTTTTTTTGCAGACCTTCCTAGGAATCACTGATCTTCATTGATTGATTGCATTTATTGGATGTACACACTATGTCGTCCCCTGTGATTTAATGATGTGTAAGGGTACGGTTGGCTGTGGAAAACGCAAGCTAGATCAGGGTTCACTGTACCAATCCGTACCAAACTGAACTGAAAACAAACCGGACCACTTGGTGGAAACGGGGCTGTTTACTGCTCCTGTGGCGGCATCAACATTGTTCTTAAATCACCGCCGACACCTCGCTTTACCAGTTTTTACAGATCAAACATGACGACCCATGACAACATGATGTCCCACTGCTCTCCCACGGGGTTCTTAGCTCCGTCTCCGTTTCTCTCTTTTTCTTTCCCAAATTCCCTCTTGTACTCTGCTCTGTTTATGTCAACCTCCATAACTCAACTCCTTCATTGTGTTTGCAGCTTTAGGATCACAGGAAGCCCAGATGTGTCAGTCAGTCGATGTTATTTTAAGGCAAAGACAATCGAGCGGGAATGTTTACTGCGAGGGCACAGATGGTCAAATACGTGGATGATGTAATGTTGCTACTGGCAACAAAAGGAAACATTTTCGTTTGAAGATAATGAACATAAATCAAAGAGGAAACTTTTCATTTGTCTCTGACTGAGTCGGTCAGACAAAAAGTGATAAAAAGACAGATATAAAATGAGTAAATTCATCAGGCTGTGTAAGACCAGTTGGCTGATGGTTCCTCTGGGTCTGTTCAATGAGACTTTTGGTGACTCGGCGTGAATCACTGTTTGGTAATAAACTTCAGAAAAAGACAATTATTTCAGCCTTTATGTCAGGCAAAGAGAGCTGTGGGAAAGTGATTACGTGGTTACCATGGCCACTTCCAGACCGCACAGCAGAGAGAGTACCAACAAACACACACTCACACACACACACACTCACACACACACACACACACACACACACACACGTACACACGTACACACCGACCTCCCTCAGGCAGCCATGCTCCATAAAGACAGTCAATTCTTCTTGTGAAGTGACTGCAATTCCTCTGCTCTTTGTACCACACAAAAGACAGAATGACGTTCTGTCTGTTTACCCACTGGCAAGGGGAGGAGAGGGAAGGAGGCGAGGAGGTGAAGGGGACAAACAGGGTGTTCAGCCAGCAAGAGACAATTTTACCGTTTGCTCATTGAAAATAAAAAAAACAGCCTGAAGGGAGAGACAGAGAAATGGACACATACAGAAGCACATACAGCAGTAGAGTAAGTAAGAGGGCAGGAAGAGACGGAGTAATGGTTTGGGTTGTGTTCTTTCATGCAGTGTTGTTGTTGCACCTTCAGTGAGGAGGATTTTCTAGCAGAAAATGACACTTCCTTCACTGCTGGCACAAAAACTTGAAAGCAAACTACTTCCTTTATACTGCAGCTTCTAACTAAAAAGCCAAGGAGCTACCTCACGGTACAGACGATATAATGTATCTTGAGCCAAAGAGGATCACACAAAACCCAAAACAGGACTTATGGAGGTACAGCTATAAGCAACAGCACAAATCCATCAGGATCATTTCCCAGTTATGTCCAGCAGCTATGGACAAAAGAAAAAAAAAACACATCGTTTCAACCAGTCTTTGGATATTTTAGGAACTTTAAACCGATTTGGGAGTGATTTTTCTACCCGGGACGGTCGGCGTTTGATTTATGAGAGAAAGTCAGACAGTAGACGGATGGAGAGAAAGAAGAAAAAAGGCACAGATAAAGAGGAAGCAGTGTTGGGATAAAAGCTGAGAGCTTACATGAAAGGAAGAGAGAGAGAGAGAGCGAGAGAGAGTGGAGGTAAAGAGTGAGAGAAGATGGAGGAAGGAGGAGGTTAAGAGAGAGAGAGAGAGAGAGAGAGAGAGAGTGAGCGGTGATTTGAACGCTGACTGTGACAGAGCTGTGAGAAGGCAATTACTGACAATCACACTGATGGAAGAGCTGCAGTGCAAAGGAGAGATGGCGCGACAAATAAAGCCCTTGCAGTTTGTCTCTGTCCGTCTTGGCCTCCTCTTTTCCTTCTATTCTTCATCTTTTCCTTCTTTTATCTCCCTCCGAGGGCAGAATGGCTAGAGAGAGAGAGAATAACCAGAAGAAGTCAGACACTGCCTGTGAACTTGTTGGAAGAATTACAACTCTCAAGTTCTCACATTGACCCTTTGATCTTTGACTTTAGAGAGCTTGAATGCCTGCTCTCAGAAAGTCCATTTTATTGTGCTTAAATACCTCACATTCCTCAAGATATTAGCATCATATTTACAGGCTTTTCCCCCAGAACTGCAGAGTGACATGCACAGAAGTCTTCAGTCTTGTATGCTGAAACAAAATGTTAACCTCACTTTAACTCCACTGAGCTTGAGCACTGTTGTTTCCTTTCCTATCCTGTCTAACATTTCATCCATTGTAGAGTGCACACTGTTGTGTACTGCAAGCAAAGCATGGCCAAATTTGTGATGCCGGGTAAACCTAAGGCAGATGGTAAATGTACCCCAAACATCAACTGACAACTACTGGAACAAAGACAAGAAAATAATATGATGAGATATATCTAATCCTCCACTTCACCTGTACAACGATGAATAATAAAAGCTCCCCCCTGAAATCCTCCTGATCTGGTTGTTCACATCATATGTGCCTCACAGGGGGAGACTGTTGGACGGGGGGGGGGGGTCACCCGAGGCAAGATATGACGTAAAAAACGAGCGCAGTGAAAGTGGCAGACGAAGTAAGGGAGTCTGCTATAGGGAGAATAGTTGCCTTTACAGAATCACAATATCAACAGAGAGCGGGGAAGAACATGCGGCCGAACAGAGAACATAATGCAGCAGTTTCATTACATGAACAGAGATTGCACCAGTCGCTTGCATACAGTCTTTGGTCGTGCACGGCAGAGAATAAATGTCACCGCCCCCTCCCGCTCGCTCGAGGTGAATTCTCCTGATAATACACTGCTGCGCTCTCACATCAGCAGCTCACTCAGAAAAAAAATACTCGGGGGGCTGGCCGGAGAAACTCTGGATGAAGTGAAAAATCCCGCTGTTTGCGTTCACACACGCAGCTGAACCCAAAAATGAGTGTGAAATCTTTAAAGAAAGAATAACGAGGTCAGTAAAATAAAAGATGAGCTTCACAATCCTTTCCAGTAACAGGTGTGTATTCAAACATGTATTTAAAAAGTGCTTCGTCTGAAATGAAATTGACCTTTTTAAAAGAGAAAAAAAAAATAGAGAAAGACAAAAAGAAAATCTTCCCATTTTGCCGGATAATTATATAACAGTTGTTTAATTTAATGTAAGCTAACCAAAATCAAACGCTTGGGCATTCAATGTGACAGTGTTAGCATAATCATGAATGCATGTTACCCCCCTTTGCTCCCTGTTTGTAGCCTCTGTTGTTCAGTTGCTGCCTCTATGAATGTATTAAACATTGAGGGGGGGCGGACACAATGGGGCTTAAGAAATAAATGTGAATGTACACACACACACACACACACACACATGCAGGCACCCCATTCCTCTTTGTCCCATTTCCAGTTGCATGCAATGACCCACAGCTTGTCACATGACCTGAATGCACCAACTGGAAACCAAGAAGCTTAAAAAAAAAAGCTCTGTTGACACATTTCCAAGCTTCCTACAGTGAAGGCCTCATTCCTCACCCACTGTACCAGACAATTAGCAGCTCTGAAGAACAAGAGTGAAGGCGAGAGATGGACATCATCACAGTCACAGACAACAATGAATTCCCCCCCTCCACACACACACACCCTACTCCATCCCTCAGCCACCCAGTAGTGATTGTGCACCACACTCCCACACAGAGAGTGCACCACACTGTCCTGGGTCAGCAGTTCAGCCTCCCAAGAGGAACAGCAGCGAGACAGCGGAAAAAAAAAGAAAATGAGAAGGTTATGTGGCAGCGAGCACAGCTAGAGATGCTTGAGTGAGACCTCGGACTATCAGCGGCAGGCTGCAGTCTGAAGGTGAAAGTGAAAGTGGAGCAAGGTGAGTGTTAAGAGGGGAATTTATCACCACACGGAGAGTCGTTTCCTATCAGAAAGACTCTGCACTTTGTAGCTGTAAGGATCCTCCAATATGGCTTTGGGGAGAGGAAAATGGAAAAAAAGATTTGAGCAATAAAGTAGTTTTAGGAAGAAAAAAACATGAAAGTCAGAAAAAGAAAGTCTTGATTGTTGGCTTTGAAGACTTTACTCAAAAAGCCCAGTCAAAATGAAACTAAACTTTGCTTTTTGGGGTACATTAGCAGAAACAATGAATTTCGATTAAAATTTGTATAATACTCAAATTAACTTCATCAAATTTAAAAGATCAGTTATATTTGGTGTATTTTTTTCCCCTGTTAGAATTTACATTTAAATGTCTGAGCTGAATGTTTTGCATGTTGGTGTCCATTTTTCTTGCTCACTGTGATGCCTCAACAGTTGTGATAACAACCCAACAATGTGATAATAAAAAAAAATATAATTAAGACTTTTCTTAAAGCTCCAGTGAGGGACTTTCGATTTGTGATGGTTTCGGTGCCCCCTGTGGACAAAGCAGTAACGCTTATCATTTGAACAGTGTAATGTGTCACTTAGACAGAATTAATAAATAAAAAGGTTGTGCACTCTCATTCTCAGTGTGACACCTGGGCAGCAGTTTCAAGTATCAATAATAACAATATAGAAACAGTCATCTTGATGATTATGGTCTCATTAGTTTTTGCAATTCATAGATCCATCATTTTCAATATCAGTATGTTTGTTACCTGCTTAAAAGTCCTCATGTTTATTTGTCTGCCAAATATGTTTAAATAAAGTATTGTCAAAATACCTGTATTTTCTTTTGCTGTAAAACTTTTCAAATGTCTGATGACTCATCCTGCACTCAGGGGCGTTTACTAATCTGTGGACTGACTGAAAAAGTCGAAGCTAACGATTTTGGCAAAGAAATTAAAGTTAAGTTTGAGTCTTTCAAGTCTAATTCACGACTTGTGGCATATTACGCTCTGTTTATATCACACCCTGGTCATCCAACAGGACTCTAAACACAAAGAGACATTTGGTATTTCCACTGACACTGAAAGAAGAATCTTAATATAGGACACAGTGCAGGACAGGAGGTGCAGATGAATCATTGGTATCTGCTGATGTGATTAAGCCTTAAAAAGTTTACAAGTTTACAACAACTCACCAGGTTGACAAAGTCTTGGTAGCAGATCTTTCCGTCCGCGTTGCCGTCGGCGAGAGCCAACAGAACTTCCAGCTTGTGGGGGTCGAGCTCCGAGCCGTGGGTCGCCAGCAGGTCCCTGAACCGCTCTGTGCTGATGAAGCCTGAGCTGTCTGGGTCATACTGCAGACAAAAATACAAACAGACAAAAAGAACAATGATTAGAAGAACATGGACGTGAAAAGGGAATAGACATCATTGCAGCTCTGCTCTGTAAGACAAGAAGTAAACAAGTCAGAAGTTCATGAGAGCTCAAGATGCTCCAAATGAATGAGTTATTTGCAACCAAACGTTGAAAACCTAAAAAAAACAAACCTTTTTGAGCGTCTTATAAAAGAGCTGTAATTGCTCCAAAAAGACCCAACACAGCAGTGACTTAGAACAGCTTCAGAATACCTTTCAAAATGACTCTGAGTGCAGCATTTAACCACAGGCTGTTTCATTATCCACTGTGAACAAGACGCATTCAAATCATCGGAAAAAACACCCGATATTCTGACAAAACCAAGACATTTTAAAAGCCAATAATGATTCAAAAGACCTTCAGAGCTGCGATTACTTAGCACTTGAGTGTGAAAGGAGTGCTGCACTTTTCACATTCAGCTTCTACATCTTGGTACCTGCACACTATTTCCTTTGCGTGGCACTTTGCACGCCAGGTCAAGAATCAAACTGCCACTCCAAAATATACAAACATGCAATTTTATTCACATTTATACTGTGTTTTTCATGTTGTGAGAGACGTCTGAGAAGCAATGAAAGAGTCTCACTGATAGCTAAGAAGCGAGGTTGAAACATTAACTTTATCCTGCTCTGTCGCTAATGGAATAAACTTCTGTTAATTGAACACAGATTCCCGAAAAAATAAAGCTACACATATCCCCTAAAACAAAACTTTAAAAAGAAAGCAGCAGTGTTTTGGTATCGTCCTTGTTCATGACAGTGTTGCCTTAAATGTCAGGTTGTTTGTGAATGCAGGCGGCAGTTTTATGTGCTGTTGTATCCGTCTATTTGCAAGAGTGAGTGTAACCATGTCTGTGCATGTAAATACAGCACATTCATGCATAAAGATGTGACATTCAAAGATTATGAGCTGCCTGCCAGTTTCCAACGACCCTGAACTAGAAATAGAGACTGTGTACATGCCTGTGTGTGTGTGTGAGTGTGTGTTTGCCATATGCTGGTGTTGGCAGAGGCTGAGTAAAGCTAGGCTGGCAGCAGGTGCTCTGCGCTCCGCCAAATGATGACGAGCTAAAAAGAGGTCTGGCTCGCCCTTTCAGTTTATTTATTTTTTAACCATATTACCTAACAGTGATGATGGGGGAGTGATGCTGTGAAATGTTGTTTCTACTACATTTCTTTTGGATTTTGAAATGATATTGAGAGTTGTCATGATACCTGCATTTTAAACTTTTTAACAACACAAGTAAAACATCAAACTATACCCATACCATAAGTTATTGGAACCCAAATTTGGAGCATTTCTTGTTTTTAGTTTCAGAAAATTGCAAGCAAAGTCCTGCACAAGGTCTCAGTTGGACAAATACATTGGCTATGTTTCAGTAGCAAATACCAATTACCAATAAGTACCTGCGGTGGCACTTGAGTGAGGTTAACGTGACCAGAGGTTGATTGGCCAAAGAAGAAGTTAATAGCGGGATAAAATTAGAAAAAGAAAGACAGCAGGATCATGTCGAGAGCAGCTAAAAAAACAATTAACGTTTCAAAAAATCAATATCGCAGAATCCTTTTATTGTGATATTATGATTTTAGTCGGCCACGTTTCCCATTTTGTTTCAATTTGTATATCAATCAATCAATCAATATTTGTATAGCGCCGATTCATAACAAGTGTTATCTTGAGTCACTTTACAAAAGAGCTGGTAAAAAGACCTTACTCATTATATCGTTATATTACAAAGACCCAGCGGTAATCCATCATGAGTGTAACACTGAGCAGCATTTTAAGCAAAAGTTACAGTGGCAAGAAAAAACATTCTTTTAAGAGGCAGAAATCTTGGTCCAATCCAGGCTCATGATGAACAGACATCTACTGAAACTGGTATGTCACATGGTATCGTATTGTATCATACTGTATTGTATCGAAATCGTATCATGAGTTACCCTGCGCTTCCTTCCTCCCTCATTCTGAGTGTTACGTGTTACGCAATACGTTTTCACACTGCGGTTTAACTTATCTCCATCTGATCTGGATTGTGTCCTTCCCATGCACAGGACCATGTGACATCTGACTGACATGTACAACTCTGCTGCGGAAGGACTGACATGATGACATCATGATGTTTTTCACGACGTAAAGCAAACTGGAAAAAGACAAAGTAACGTCAAAACTGTCATCTGCCACATGGCATCCAACAGAAGAAGAGGAGGAAAGAGGAGGAGGAAAGAGGAGGAGGAAAGAGGAGGAGGAAAGAAGACTGTGTTGTAGAAGACTTTTCTATATCTCTAAAGAAAAACTGGAAAGTTAGTCTCACTGTGACTGTGCATTTATTCCATAATATTGTGTTTTTTCAATGAATACACACAAGAGCTTACTCTGAATATGATTCAACTCTCCCTGCTGAACACACGGTGCCCCCATTAAAAAAAAACACCTCTCCTTTTCTCTCTCTCTCTCTCTATCCACTTTATGAAAGTAAATGTAAACTACTCTACAGAAAGAACCAACCTTGTGTTGCAGTGAATCAGCCAGTTTCTGCCGAAGATATTTTGTCATGATGAAGTAACGTCAGCCAAAGCCAGCCTCACTGCTCGGTGTGAGAGCTAAACAAAATGTTGAGTGAGTGCCTGTGTGTGTGTGTGTGTGTGTGTGTGTGTGGCTGTCATATTGTTTGTCCCAGACTGCATAGGGGCATTCCTAACCAGGACTAAAGGATTACAGTCCAATCCAAGACACATCAATACAACCCCCACTTCTTTCCCTCTCATTACACGCACGCTAACTCACACACACACACACACACACACACACACACACACACACACACACACACACACACCCTAAACCATAGTCAGCCTCCTCTCAGCCTCCACGTCACACCCCACCCCTCACACACCACACGTAACACCCCTTCACCCCACTTTCACTCCCCCTCTCTCACTCTCTTCCGTCATCTCCTCTCTCGAAAGCCAACATGTGGCCTCCCTCAGAAAGGAAAAATAAACAGCTCAATAAATTCTCCTGTTATCTCTTTTACTGTCACTTCTATAGAAGCAGACTGCCATATTTTCAACACACACACACACACACACACTTTTTTGGACACTGCAGGTTTCTCAGTTGAGTGAGCTATGTGTGAAGTCAGGCTGTCTGCTGGGTGGAGCAGCAGAGGGGACACACACTCAACAATGGGCTCATGATGGTAATTTCATGCTAGGTTTACCCGATTCCTTCCCTCCAATTAGTGATTCTTCATTTCCATCAGATGCACCCAAAGGTCCAATCAGAGAAGGACTTTATATGATTCAAGAGTAACTCCTCCCAAGACTCCTAAAGCTTGATTACACACTGAAAACTGGTACTTATTAGGATTTGGGGGAAATCTGGATTATTTTTGGGTTCATTAATCTGCAGATTTTTCTCCTTATTAATCCATATAATGTTTGACTGTTACACTTCATCATTTTTGTCTATATTAAGAAAAAAATAAAATATCCCTTCAAGACCAGGAAGTACAACATTTGGAGGATTTTTTCTGACAAAGAATGATCTAATAAGAACCATATTTTCATATTTGCCTTTGACCCAATTTTAAATATTTTGCATAAGATTAACTGAGCCTTAAACACACACACACACACACACACACACACACACACACACACACACACACACACACACACACACACACACACACACACACACACACACACACACACACACACACACACACACACACACACACACACACACACACACACACACGACACAAACATCCAAGATACTTATTTTCTGCAGCATTACTAATACTGCATGTACATATGGATGAGTAAAGGATTATGGGTAATGCAGTACTTACATATCTGTTTGTATTAAGCATGTGCATGTAGGAACATTGACCAGATTTTGCATTTGGTAGAAGTTTGGGCACATTTTTCATTTGTATAACTCCAGTATGTGCTGCTGTGTGTGCTCCATTAGTAAAACGGAAAGGCAGTGTGATGCAAATCCCTCAGATTAAAATATGCATACACATACACACACAAATCTGTGTGCAGACATAATGCCACAAAACATTCTCAGCCAATGGGCTTTCATATTGAAGGCTTCTTAGCAGCCTGGTGTCAGAGCAGAGGAGAAAAACAGCAGAGAGCAGAAGGGAGGGGAGCGGCGGGGGGGGGCTGGTTGGTGCTGTGGAGAGGAGGGGGTGCAGACTGAACACAATGCAAGGCTTTCTGTATTCACACTCATTTTCATAAAACTGAATATCAAGGAAGTGGAGGGGATGCTGTTTGTAAGGTCAGGTTTTCTTTTCCAAGGGCCTGCACAGAAAGCCTTACTGATAAGAAGAAAATTAAACAGAAACACACAGCTCTTCAAAACATCTGAATACATTTTATAATATCCTGCACCTTAGGTGACAGACTGAGCCAACTAAAGACCTATTGAAATAGTCTTGACAATTTCACAAATACGTTAGAATAAAATTGTAAAAGGTCAAAAATAGAGACTAAAAGATTCCAAAGCAAAGCAAGTCAAGGCAGCGTTATTTGCATAGCACATTTCACACACTGAGGTCATTGAAAGTGCTTTACAGAGTAACAAAATAAAAGACTCAAAAATACAACTCAAAAGAGGAGTACATTCTTTCACAAAATAAGAGGTGTGTGTGTGTGCGCGCAAATAAGAGGTGCAAAATAACTTTAATCCAAATGTGGTTTAGAATTATAATGAATATATTTAAAAGATATCATTATATGCTAGTGGAAAGTGTTAGGAATGTTTTTGAAGTTTTCACCTAAAGGTAGTCAGAGTCACGGCTAGTCTTACATCATCTGGACGATTTCTCCAGGGCTGTGCTGCATTATAACAAGACGCTGCTTCACTGTTTTGTTTTCCATCTCTTGGGACGGTCATAGGCCAGCCCCAGAAGTCTCTCAGG